AAATAATTGAGAAGGCCAGGGCCTTGATTAAGTACACCTTTGTATCTAGAGTGACATCGTTGTTTTTCAGCACTCTGGTGAGGTCTCTGACAGCAGATTTCCCCAATGCAATTAGTCTTTTGATTTCCTGATTGCTGGTGTTAAGAGTGTTGATTGTGGATCTGAGCAAACTATAATTGCTCACAACCTCAATCTCTTCTCCATTGGTAAAAATCTTTGTCTTCTTGATGTTGAACTTCAATATATATCGAAGATTATAGTCCTCTACCTTTTGCAGCAAGTGCTTCAGGTCTTCAGCTTCAGCAAGCAACATTGTTTCATCTGTGTACCATAGGTTGTTTATGAACCTTCCTCCAATCTTGATGCCACACTCCTCTTCATAAAACCCTGCTTCCCAAATGATATGTTCTTCATACAGATTGAAAGATATGGGGACAGAATGCAGTTCTGACACACTCCTTTGCTGATTTTTGAATCATGCATGGTTTCCTTGCTCTCTTCTGAGGACTGCTTCTTGGTCCAAAGTGTAGGTTTTGTATGATCAAGTGTTCTGAGATTCCCATTTTCTCAAGGTTAGCCACAATTTATTGTGATCCACACAGCTGAGTGCCTTTGCATAGTCAATGTAATACAGATAGATATTCTTCTGGTACTCTTTGCTTTCTGCCAAGATCCATCTGACATTGGCAATAATGTCTCTAGTGCCATGACCTCTTCTAAACCCAGCTTGTATTTCTGGTAGTTCTCAGTCAATGTACTATTAAAGTCTTTTCTGGATAATCTTTAACAGAATTTTTCTAGTGTATGATATTACTGATATTGTTTGATAATTTCCCCACTCTGTTGGGTCACCTTTTTTTTGGAGTGTGAATAAATAGGAATCTCTTCCAGTCAGTTGGCCATATATACTTGCACCAAGCTATTGCTCAGTAGTGACTACATCTATTTTCAACACAAATTCTTGTTCAACTTCCATTTAGATATCTCCCCCACTCCCTTCTTTTTCTCAGCAAGACTTTTACTTCTGCAGAAGGTTGCTTGGGCAGGTTTAACTCTCCATTTGGATATCTTGAAAAGAGTATCTTTCTACAAACTGTTCCTGAGGTATGAAAGTGCCAGACCTGTTTATTGGAGTTTTTCTGCTTGTGACTCTGTTACAGTCCAAGGCCAAGGATATAGGACAGGAGAGCAGGCAGGAAAACCTCACTGGAGCACTTCCCCATTGTGTTTAGACCTCATTTTCAAGGTGTGTACATTTTTAGATATAAAGGAATAAAGAGCATATTTATTAAAAAATCTTATTATCACAATAATTTGTAGCAGGATGATTTAGTAGTCAAAGACTGGAAACCAATCAATACCACCAGTTGAATAAGATCAGTGTGCTGTCATCTGATTATTATTCTAAATAGTTTCCACAATAATATGAAATAGTGATGTGAAGAATTACTTGGATGAATCAGAAACAAAATATTGACTGAACGAAGTAAGACTAGATAAAATAACCTGCATGATTTTATGTAAAGTCAAAACACTGGTAAAGAGATTCTCTTGTAGCAGAAGGTAAGAAAGTGATTTTGTTTGGAGAGGAGGGAGAACATTTTGACTGTTGTGGTATGCAGGTGACTTCTAGAGGGTTGTTAATAACCTTTTTGTTATCTTGGGTTACTTTAATGTGTCTGTCTTATAGATGATTGAATTGTACACTGAGTTGAAAAATAAGTGAAGAATGAGAACCAGCCATATTTCAGTGCCTAATGGCTGGTTCCCTGGTAACCAGTACCATGGCTCTCTTTTTATGTCATATTTCCCTCTCTCTGCTCTTGGGGACATTCCATTTAGGAACCAAATACCAGTGAGTCCTTACTTTTCTCTTACCTGAACAGACTACAGAGGCTGTGTTTCCAGGGGTACATGCAGAAGCACCCAGGAGAGTCACAGGACAATTCCATACAAAGGACTCAACTCCTGAGCAGTGAAATCGGTATTTCCAGACCTGATCTCTTCTTCCCTCAAAATATGCTCCTGTTGTGATAGAGAGGGCAACTCCACAGTTGAGCTGACGACAGACTACATTGGCATTAGCCATGCTCCAGTGAGAGGCACAGAGTGGTTTCCATACTCCAGAAATCCTCATCTCCACTTGTCCCTCACATTGAGAGCTGTCGTTGTTCATGAGCCGAACTTCTGTGAATTCTGGTAGAAGAAGACAGATTTTAGCACAACATTGTTGGTTCCTCCTTCAACAGCATATGTGAGCAGATTTAAAGATCTACTCTGAGTCTCACCTAAACAGACAATGTGGACAGCCCCACCATGGGATAAAGAACCTTCAGGATAGGCCACTTTGGGGCAAAAGTAGAGATAAGATTCTTGTCCCTCACACTGGAAGTGTTCAGTCCAGACCTTTTCATTAGCTTTTCTGAAAGACATGTTCCCCAGGATAGATGCAGCTTTTCCACATCCCAGCTCTGCACAGATGACATGGGCAGTAGGGAAAGTGAAGTTCACATCAGACACTGGAGTCCAGTCTCCTCCTGAATTCACTTCCACTTGCCCTGAGCAGGGTCCAACTCCTCCAGACAGACGCACAAATCCTAAGGGAAAACCAAAATCCAGTGAATATTTATGATCCTGGATTGGTATTTGAAAAAGACATATTACAGGTCATGATGTGAATGCTTCTCCTTCTTGCCAGGAGTGAGTTATAAGAGTGTTTTAGACAATTGGTACCAAAATTGTCTATCTATGAGTAAATTTCTGAAGAGAGACAGGAAGGATTTGAAGAGTTTTAGAATTTTATCAGAATGATTGAATCTTTGCAAGATACATTTTTTGGAAGAAAGAAATTGCTCATGCTGGGGTCTGGGGCCTAAAAGGCCTAAAGAAACTTGATAGTAGGTGAAGGTGCAGACTTGTGAAAAGTTGAGCTAATTCAGAGCTACAAAAGAGACTTTTGTTTTTTTTTTTAAAGTTTTTAGTGAGGCAGATTACTACATCTCCTTCTTACATAGTTTGTAGGTTTAAATCACTGACTGTTTGGTTAAATGGTAAATATTTGTATCCATAGTGCATCCAAGGCTCTTTATCTGGTAGAATAAAGCACTGTCAGAGAGAGAGAGAGAATTTGTAAAGAGAGAAAGAAAAAGACATTTGTTAAGAAAAGGTAGAGAAATATTATCCACACAAGATTAGAAGGCTATCCTAGATGTTTGGGTCAAGAATTCTCATCCTGTTTCTTTGTCTCTTCCCATCATTAAGGGAATAAATAGGGGAAAAATGAGGGCTGAAGAAATCCATGTGTGCCAAAATGCATACAGATAGGTGACAAAAGAGAATAGAGACATTGTAACTAATCCACTTTTATGGTCTCACACTTGTTGTTTGGATTGTTCTTTACGGTAAAAAAGTCAAGAATTTTTAGGTGTTCTAACCAGCAAAGATGCTGTCCACGGAAGAGTCTGGATGTGGAGGGTCTCAGAGACACAGGAATGTTGATGGGGCAGGGTGGATGGCTCTAGTAATCTGTCCTGCAACCATGTTGTTGTTGTTATGTGCCGTCGAGTTGCTTGCGACTCATAGCGACCCTATGTACAACAGCTCTATACCCTGCTCTATCCTGTGCCAATCACACTTTCTCTGACACTCCCATCCCAATTACCCCAGTCACTGAATCAATCCACCTCAAAGAGGGCCTTCCCCTTCTGTGCTGTCCCTCCACCCTCTCCAGCATAATGTCCTGCTCCAAGGACTGGTCTCTTCTTACAATATGTCCAAAGTATGTTAGATGGAGCTTCAGAATCCTTGCCTCCAAAGAGCCAGCCAGTTTTACCCTTTCCGGGCTGAAACTGTTGGTTTTCCTAGCAGTCAATGGTACTCTCAATACTCTTCTCCAGCACCACAGCTCAAAGGCATCAGTTCTCCTTCTGTCCTCCTTGTCACTATCCAAACTTCTGATGTATAACAAGTGATTGCAAAGACCATGGCCTGTATCAGACACACCTTAGTCTCCAGAGAGACACCATTGCTCTTCAGTAATTTGGAGAGGTCCCTAACAGCAGACTTTCCCATGGCAATGCACCTTTTAATTTCCTGGCTACTGGTGCCAAGAGTGTAGACTGTGAAGCCAAGCAA